AATTTTTTAAAATTAAACACTATCTAAAGATTTGCATCGAAGCGTTTTTTTTTTATAGTGATTTTAATCACTGTCAGATATCATTATACTTGATCCAACTATGCCACGTCACCACTGTGCCGCGACCCCCCTGTGCTGGGTTTTTTTAATATCTGATTTTATCTCATGTTTAAATTTATTTAACATTTATTACAGTTTTTAACTAAAATCGTAGATTTAACTTAAGTAACTATTTTTGGGATTTTAATACAAATAAATTATATCCAATGTATTTAAAAAACTACACTATTTAAATTCCTGGTACAGTTATTGCTTTCAGAGTTATACAATTTTTGCTGTACAAGATAAAAAATTAATTGCGCTTAATAATGAATCAATTAAATATAATTTTTTACACAAAAATATTGAAGTAAAAACAATAATACAATTAAACTAAAAAAATACACTTCTAAAGAAAATTTATTCAACTACATAGAAATATTTATAATATTAGCAAACGCTAGTGTAAAAAAAAAACAAATTGTAAATTGTTTAAAATATACTACATTGTGAATTTTTTAAATCTAAAAAATTTTACTTACGGCAAAGGGTAATAATTTATTAGAGCTTTCCTCTTATGATTAGTTAACAAAATTACTTTTGCATCAAATTATAAATTTAATAGATAAAGTAACCCATGCAGTTATTATACTAGTATAGTGAGTACTTTTATTTAGTCATAACAACCAATTTTAACTTCGATGCAAAGCTGAGAAGGTATTAATGTTACCATGATGTTTTATTTATTTTTATTTTTTGTGTCTGTCACTATATTTTCTTAGCTGTCACTGGACTGATTATGTCAAAAGATTACAAATCGTATCTAGTTGAAGACATTACCCTAAAAATTTGAAAAAAATTCTCTCGTTTTCCGTAAACGGGAAAAATCCCCCAAAAATTTACAAATTTAAAAATTGCTAATTTTTGACATTTTTTCAATTTTTTACTTAAAATTGCCATAACTTTTTTTTTGAAAAACTAGAATAGTTTACCTCTTGTGTACAAAATACATACAGACAACTCGAACCAATTTAACATTGTTTAAAACTTTTGATATAATTATTATTTTATAAATAATTATTGCCTACTTAGACTATGCTTAAAGTATATTTTTTGTATTTATCACTAATAAAAAAAATTTTTTTTTAATAACACATACTTGATCTATCTGCTTTACATACCTAGAAGTTAATGATTAAGTTTTCATAGTTAAAAAAAATATATATCATATTTGAACTATAAAATAAGTTTTGGCTGAACAAATAATTATATTAAGTGTACCAGAAAAATGCATTTAAAAGTTTAAGATTATTTGTTTCAGTAAAAAAAACGTTTTTTTTCTATAATACTTTTAATTATCTTAAAAGTAAGAAAATCGATCAGGTTATAGAAAAAATTATATATTTACATGCTTTTTAGCTACTTATATTTGCTAAAGAACTGTATAGGTGTTATTAAAACATAAAAAATATCTATAAAACAAAAAAATTATTATAGACTTATCAATAAGATCAAATTAGGAGTAAAACTTTTTTTATTTACAACATATATTT